CATGATATCCAGACACGCGGTTCTGATGAAGCAAATATAAGGAAAGAGGTGGTAGTTAAGGAATGATTGAATACTCTCTTGAAAAAAGACGTTTTCTGGCTCCCAAGATCCTGAATTACGTGGCTTGAAGAGAGAGATAAAAACACATTTTTTTCATAATCGTGCATCCTAGAGGAGGCGAGTCAACTAGATTCAAGGATTAGAGGATGAGTGGGGGCAGCGGCACGAGGGTCAAGTAGTAGTGGCCAGGGGAGCCAAACGGCATTTCACAGATATATTCCACACTCAAAGGAATAATTATTATGATGTAATATTAGAAGCAATTACTCCATGTGTAACGAATGAGATGAACAGTCTGCTGGAAACCAAATTTACATTTGAGAAGATACATATACCTTCAAAACAAATCGACCCATCAAAGGGGCCTAGTCTGGACGGTATGCCTGCCTTGTTTTTCCATAAATTTTGGCATATCATAGGTTCTAAGGTAACTAATTATTGTCTCTCGGTTCTAATTGGGGAGGTTAGTTTAGATGAGGTCAATAAACTAATATTGTGCTTATTCCGAAACTGCATAATCCAACTAAAATGACCCAGTTTCGTCTTATTAGTTTATGTAATGTGTTGTATAAAAGCATTGCTAAAGCTATAGCTAATAGGTTGAAAGTTTTCTTACCATTCTGTATTAGCGAAAACCAAAGTGCCTTTGTCCGGGTAGATTAATCACTAATAATGTAGTATAGTTGTTGCATATAAGTTGCTTTATGTGCCTTGAAGTTAGACATGAGTAAAGCTAATGATAGAGTAGAATTTGTTTTTGTTGATAAGGTCATGAGGAAAATGGGGTTTAGTAGTGGTTGGGGTTCACTTGTTATAAAGTTTGTGCGATTTGTTAAATAAAACGTCTGTATCAATGGTCTGATTATTGATACAATTATTCCAGAAATGGGCCTCCAACAAGAGGACCCTTTATCACCTTAGTTATGTTTAGTGTGCACAGAAGGTCTATTAGCGGTTTTGTCCAAAACACAATAGGAAGGGAAACTAAGTGGAGTCCGAGCTAATCGTAATAGGCCTAAGATTACTCACTTGTTTTTCACAGATGAACGTTTGCTATTTATGAAAGCAAACCAAAGAGAATGCTAAAGAGTGAGGGACATGCTAAAGATTATGAAGAAAGTTCTGGGCAAAAGATAAACTATAACAAATCAGGGCTATATTTTAGTAAAAATACAAGCACAGACAAACACGACACCGTGAAAGGCATTTTGGCATATAGGCCACCAACAATCCAAAGAAGTATTTATGAGTTATGACTCCTTATATTAATTGGGAGAGGGGAAAAAGCGAGCCTTTAGAAGCATAATAGACATGATGAAGAAGAAAGCGATAAGTTGGAATCAAATGTGCATTTCGGCAGGAAAGGAAATGCTCATCAAAGCTATACTACAGTCAATATCTTCAAATGCAATGGCTGTGTTTCATTTTTCCTAAGCGGTTGTGCCATGAACTTAATATGATAACAAGCAACTATTGGTGGAATAATGGAAGGGAGGGGAAAGGGATTCATTGGCTCGTATAATAGAAACTGTATTAGGACAAGGAAAAGGGTGGCATGGGGTTCAAGAGATGGAATATTTTAATATAGCTTTACTGGCCAAACAGGGGTGGCAGCTCATTCATAACACCTTATCACTGGTGTACAAAGTGTTAAAAGGGAAATATTTCCATAACTATTCTTTCTTTGAGGTAGAAATGGGAAGGAAACCATCCTACATTTGGAGAAGTATTTGTAAAGGAAGAGAGCTTATTGTACGTGGAATCCGGTGGAGAGTTGGAAATGGGACAAAGATTAGAGGATGGAAGGATCCATGGGTATTGAGGCTTGTTGTTTCATTCCAACTCCTTATGATACTGCCATCTTTATAAATATGATGGTGCGAGATTTGTTCGCTGAAAGTACCAACTAGTGGAACATCCAAAAGGTGGAAAGCTATTTTACAAGGGATATGGTAGAAGAAATTATGTCCATTCTTTAAGTGATGCAGACTTAAAAGATGAACTAATTTGGCATCACATAAAAGAGGGAACATACACGATTAGAAGCGGCAACCGGGTCCGACAAGCAGAAGGGCAAGAAGGCTTGACGGATGTGACATCTATCACTGTCGCTAACAATAAGCAAAGGGGAGTTTGGGGGAAAATATGAAAACTCAAAGTCCTCAGTAAAATACGGGTTTTTTGCATGTACAGTGGCTCATGAAATACTCCCAGTTTATTCTAAGCTGAAAGAGAAAAAGCTGATAGATATGGCGACCTATCTAAGATGTAAGCAAGAGGAGGAAACGATCATCCACTCACTTGTATAATGTCATCGTGCATCAAAGATGTGGGAGGAGATTGGATTGGGTGAAGTGGTATACGGACAGTAGTGGCAGAACGTTGGGAATTGGATGTCGTCTGTAATAAGGAAGATGGAACCTGCAAAGATGGATATAGTTATCACCATTACATGGGCACTGTGGCATAGCAGAAATGAGGAGATTATTAATCACAAGGATTGGAACCACCAGGAAACTGCTAAGTATGCCACGGATTACATACAGGAGTACAAAAAAACACAAGAAATGGAGAAGAATAAAGGTCCAAGAAAGTCGGTAATTTGGAGAGCACCAGCATAATAAAATCAAGTTGAATTTCGATGGGGCGTTAAACAACATTGATAGGCTCAAGGGAGTAGGGGTATTAGCCAGGAACCACGATAGAGAGGTAATGGGGATATTATGCAAACAAGTGAGAAATGTCCGAGATCCAGTCATCATTGAGGCAATGGTGGCAACAAAAGCAGTGAAGTTGGCAATCGATATGGGATTTAATAAGATTGAGATCAAAGGTGATGCACTGAGGGTGATACAATAGATAAAGAAAGTTTGAACAAAATCTATGCCTTAACGCTATGATTGAATAAATATTAATAAAAAAATTAAAGAAAAAAAATTATACATGTAACCCGGATAATTAAAATTAATTAAAAAAATAATTCTAACAATTATTATTTGGATAAAGAGTAAAAAAAAAAGGAATGATTTATTATAATAAAATTTTTCGATTATAACCTTTCATTGTCTGTGATTTTAGAGCATTTTCTAAATTATGATATGTTTGTTATCTTGTCTGACCTTATAGTTGTTGTTGTATAATGATTTTTAATTAATTGAAATAGAAATATATTTTATAAACATATATTGATAAATTTTGAACTAGTATAATATCTCATAATCCAAAAAATATATCTATTCATATTTAACTATTCATCAAAATTATATCACCAAAAAATTATAAAAAAAATTTATATTAAAAGAGATATGTGAAACTTACATAAAAAAATGACTTTGAAAAAATTACAAAATGATTGTGATTTGCTTAGGTTTTTTTATTATGTTTTTAGTATTAATAAAAAAGATAGACATAATAATCTTTTTATAAAAAAAAAAAATTCAACTTTTCTTTCCCTACCTTTTTCTCTAAATTGAGATATTAAAAAATTAAATTTATAAAAAAACCAAAAATTATTTGATTTTTACCTCTTTTTCTTTCTTTAAACTAAAAATTTATCCGAATAAAAGAAATTGATTTTTGTTTTTCTTTACTTTCCTTTCCTTCCTCTCCCCTCAATCAAAATACACTATAAAAAAATTCTGATAAAGGAGATCCAACCGAGGCTCAAAGGTATAGAAATTTGAATGTGCAATCATGTGTCTCAAGAAGCAAATAAACCGACCCATCTACTAGCTAAAAGGGATTTTTTGCATAGTGAGACTTAGTATTGGGTGGAGGAGTGCTTTTTATTTAAAAAGTTGTTGAACAAGAGAAGTTTATTCTGTAGTAATGATATCTCTACTTTTGTTTAAAAAAAAAAAAAAAAAACCTTAACACATTTTCTATTCTTGTGTCTCTTTTATAATATAATTATAAATATATAAATAATTATTGGATTAGATTGGGTTGGTTTTTTTTTTTTGTTATATCAAAAAAATAAAGTTATAGTACAAGTAAGAAAAAAAAAGCTTGATTCAAAATTACATCCTTGATATCACATCAAACACCTTTAATCATTAGATTAAAAATTTAAAAATTAGGTTGATCTTTAAATATTAAGTTTAAAACTTGATTATTTTTTAAATAAACTTTTGATTTAAGTCAAAGTTTATTTACCGCGTTTAATTTTATATTTTAACCCTCTCAAATTTCAAACAAATTTTTAAACTCGAGTGAATAAGTTTGTTTAAATATTATGTTATTCACTTGAACTTAAATTTATTTAAATTTCAAAAAAATTTAAATATAAATATTAGATCTGTTAAATTATTCGGGCTTAAAGTAAAGGTCCGTTTAAAAAAGTAGTCAAGCCTTGGAAATAATATTTAAAGCCTAGGTCCGATAGTTCTTTATATATATTTTATATTTATAATTATAATACATAAAAATTAATAAATAATTAAATAATATATGTTTATATGTTAATAACCTACAACCAAACATCATGTAACTAATCTCACCCAAACACCAACTTAAATAAATGAAGTCATTTTTAGGCTTTATTTTACTGGTTATAGATTTAAAATAATTAATATTTATTTTGTTTTTAAATAAAAATTAAAATCTAAACAAATTTAGAAAAATTTAAACATTTTTTTTAATTTAAGATTAGACCTGAATAACAAATGGGATCTATATTTTTAACTGGACAAAAAATCTAAAATTTATTAATATTCAATCCGATCGAAATTTGTAGGATAGGCCAACGTATTAATCTTTGTTCGGGTCTTAGTGGAAAACGTGGCAGACAGTCATTTGCCCGTAAATTTCATTCCATGACAGTCCCGTAAGCATGTGCAGGCACAAAATTGCCTCCAAACTTTTGACATTTTACTCATCTTCCCGCCATTTTCTCTCCTCGTACCATGTCGATGTTAACCAAACCACCAGCAAAACAAAAAACAAGCACCCACACCTTCTGAAGGCAAGAAAAAGAAAAATCCTAAACCTCAAAACCCACAGACAGTTCGTTCAAAATGGGAATCAAAGATCTGCTCAGATTCTTGAAACCTTTCATTAAGCCCGTTCACATCAAGAAATATGCTGGCAAGCGGGTATCTCATTTTATCCTCCCTCCCTCCCTCTCACTCTAACTGCTTCCTTTTCTTTCTTTTTCTTTTATTATTACATTTTTTTTTTGCAATTTTGACAGGTGGGTATAGATGCTTATTCATGGTTACATAAAGGAGGTATTTGTCGTTCAGTTATACTCCTTTTTTTTTTTTTTATTGTTGTAAGTGGAAATGAAATGAATAGGCTGAATTGGTTTATGCAAAAATTGCAGCATATTCATGTAGCATGGAGATTTGTTTGGATTCAAACAGTGAAAAGAAATCTCGATACATAGATTACTTTATGCACAGAGTCAATCTTCTTCGTTACCATAAGATAACTCCAGTTGTTGTTTTTGATGGTGCAAATATCCCCTGCAAGGCTGCCACTGAAAATGAAAGATACAGGTTTTTAACTTTCTCTACTTAAAATGAAAAGCTTTTAAACCTTTCATTATATATAGGATTTAGCTATTTCAAGTTCTTGGAGATAATAGTAACATGGTTTTGACAGTTGTCTTTCTTTTTTGATTCAAGGAGGAAGAAAGATAATCGGGAATCGGCAATGGCTAAGCTTAAAGAGGGGGATGTTAAAGGTGCAAGTGAGCTTTTCCAGGTTTCACCTACCTTCCCTGTGCCTTTAGTTCAATTTTGAACAATTCATTAGCATTTTGCCCATATGCATGGTTAATGTTTGGAGACGTGTCCTTTCTTGGGGTTTGTGGTTATGGTGATAATTATGTTTTAGGATTCAGGATTCAATTAGGATCGCAATCTATTGAATTTTCATCTTGAGAAAATGCTTTCATTTAAGGAACAGCTTGCTGGAAATTCTTGCAGCAAGAAGATTAAGATTTTTTAACTGGTCAATTGGCATGTGGGAATTGATATGAAAATATAGGGAAACAACTAAATTTGAAAGGTGCCAGAAAGATAATATAGCAAAGAAGAGGAAAAATAGTTTAGAGGCAGAGGTTTTGTGCTGGGAACAGTAACTGTATCACGTTAGTACTAGCTAAAATTAGAAAAAAAATAACATTGTAGAAAGAGAAGAGAAGTGAAGAAAGGAGAAAGAGAGAAGAGCACAGAGCTACTATAGCGGTCTATGCCTCAATAAACTAAACTATTATATTTTCATGAGGAAAAGGATACTAAAATCCAAAGGTCATATAGGTATTTGTAGTGATTTCCATACTAATTAATCTTCAAGAACCAGATGACTACTTCTTAACCAATTGAAAATTCCACAATTTTGCCCCTTTACATGAAAGTGGACATTTTAAAAAATAAAAAGTCTGAAAGCTATAAACTTTCTTTTTCCATGGCTGCATTACTGCTATTCATTTTTTCCTTTAAAAAGTAACAAATTGTTTGTCGGTTTATATTATTTTGTTCAAGTGTATGTTGATAAAAAGTACTATCTTGTTTAAATTTTCATTGAAAATTATCGGACAAACTATTTGTTATGCTCTTGGATTGAATTAGTTTGCTTTATAACACTAAATGCTACTCTTGGAAAATTACTGAGACTTATTAAGACCCTCTCAAGATTGTGCACGAGCATGAAGTAAATTTTCAGTACTGATTCCAACCTCTACAAGTATAATTCACTTATTTAGACCTATCTCAGGTTTGAGTGTGAGCATGAACTAAATTTTTTGTAATGCTTTCAGCCTGTTCAACTTTGATTTTGGCTGGAAATGTATAGTTAGGTCATTTTAAATGGTTCACCAGTAGGTTCACTTAAAAGTACTTTCGATTTCTTGATCTTGACCATCATATCTCCTAACATCAGAGAGCATATTTTTATGTTTGCTGTCCGCTTAAATTTTGATTTTTCATCTTCCTCACTTATTAACTCTGACATCTGTATGGATTTATAGCTGTTCTTATATAAATTTGTGGTCACATTATTCTTTCTCTTTCTGTCTTGTAGAGAGCAGTGAGTATCACTCCAGCAATGGCACATCAATTGATTCAGGTATAACATATTTAATACAGTTCAGCAATGCCTCTGCATTTCCATATAATTTTCTACGATTTTTGCTCACCACGAAAATTTAGAATATTTTGCATTCCTCTTCGAATTAAAATCCCTACCAAACTTATGTAATTACTTTTCAGATCCTAAGATCAGAGAATGTTGAATTTTTGGTAGCTCCATATGAGGCTGACGCACAGCTAGCATATTTGGCCACCCTCGAGGCTGAAAAAGGTGGAGTTGTAGCAGTGATTACAGAAGACAGTGATCTAATAGCATATGGTTGCCCATCTGTAAGAACTTCTCCAAAACTATTATGGTGTGCTGATGGAGGTCTTCTGCTCTCCTGATGTCTTCTGTTTCTTTTTGTTGATTATCAGAATTGTTGCTTTCATCTTGTTTTATGCATTTTCTGTTAACAGATCACTTTTAAAATGGACCGATATGGCAATGGAGAAGAACTAGTACTGTCTAAAATTTTTGAATCTGTAACTAGTAAGCCTTCCTTCAAAAATTTTGGTAAAGAATTGTTCACCGGTAAGCTTTGTTTTGACATTTCAAAGCAATGTTCTTTAAGTTTACATGTTATTTAAAAGCCTAGGTTGTCCAGAATACAACTTTCCCAGGAATCAATTTAGAAACATTTGATGTACAAAAATCAAGAACCCTACAGACGTATCTTGATATAGGTGAACTCTATATTCCTGCGATTATTACAAGCCTGATTCTTTTAATCTGTTGAACTGGTTAGACTTCTCTTTGGTGAACCATCAGTTGTGAAGTTTTCCATAAATATTGTAAAACTAGAAAGATCTATTTTACTATTTTTGTTGAAATAAACAAGTCCTCTTTTTTTTACTCTAATATATGCATTTGGGCTAATATTCAGCTTATGTAATGACAATTTACAGGTATGTGTGTCTTAGCTGGATGTGATTTCCTTCCATCTGTTCCTGGAATTGGGATTGTAACGGCACATTCCTTGGTCTCCAAGTATCAGAACTTAGACCGTGTAAGTAGTTTCTGCAAGCTTCTAACCAACAATTGCTGCGCTCATGAGTATTTCAATGTGGTTTTCATTCGACATGTGAAGAGAAACTGCTTCTTCATAGAATTTAAATCATGCTAAATGAGGCAAAACCATAATATTTTTCTCATGGGGGAAATTGAACCTTGTTTTTGAATGTAGCCAGTGGGTTTGATGAGTTCATTTTCTTAAACTGCACATTCAAATATCTCTAAACTTGTTAAGCATGCAGTGCATAAAATTTGGAATGGCTGATTATCTATGAAATGTTACTTAGGGCAACCAGTAACCAATCATTTAAATAGAGATCTTTTTGAAGAATGGTAATGCTATCATAGTATTATTTCTTGAGTTAATGCGTCACATACATGGATATAATTGTCTACTATGCAGACCTGCATCCATATAACAAACAGAATGGGGACCTTCCATTTCAAAGGATTTCCATGCAAAGTGCTTCAGTTTGGAAGCATAAGCAAGAGAAATTAGTGAACAAGAAACAAAGTAATTGACCACTCAATCTAATGGCCTTTCATGCGGACAAAATTAGTGAGCCATAATTAAATGGAAAAAGTGTTTTTTTTTTTTTTTTATCTCTAGAACATGAAGCCGGCATGCTATTTGCAGCTTGTTGAAATTGTTTTTCCCATTTATGACAGTATCTGGAATTTCTGCTCCCTTTAATGACAGCTGTAGAAACTTATGTTTTTAAAAATATATATGATGTATATCCATCTGGTCATGTCATTGTTATTTAAAATTCCATATTTTGTTAATATGTTTACAGGTTCTGTCAGTTTTGAAGATAAAGAAGGGTAGTCAAATGCCTGAAGATTACTCCAAATCTTTCAAAGAAGCAATTGCAGTTTTTCAGCATGCCAGAATGTTCGTATGCTGGAAATAGAATTATCCAATGATCCGTGGCTTGATTTTATAAACTTATACTGTTGCTTTCAACTTTCTTTTGCAGATACGATTCTGAAACCAAGGGGCTTAAACACATGAAACCTCTTACACAACAGCTTCTGCAATCTCTAGATGAAGGGCTTGATTTCCTGGGACCGTATCTTTTTTTTTTTTTTTATACTTTGATTCCCAAGTTACAATGGTAACTTCATGACATAGAAAAAGGAGGGAAAAGAGGTAGAAAATAGAGAACAGAGACTAAACACAGGGTAATAGAAATAATCAAAAGAAACTTGGGGAGAAATAGAGGAAATTGAGAAAGAAAGTGATTCAACCAAGATGTGAAATTATTACTAATATCTAATACTCAAATGTCAATCATCCATAATCTAAAACTGTTAGAAAATGAAATAAGTTAACAGCTTATAGACTACTCCATAAACCTTAGTACTCAGTAAATGGGAGAAAATTCAAACTAAAATGACTGAATTCAAGTGCTTTAAATTAAAATGACTGAATTCAAATGCTTTAAAATACCCCTAATACTACAATAGAGAACGTAAAAACTAAAGCAAAGCGATTTTAATAAAACCCCATATGATTTAATCCTTCAGCCACGCATCACTTTAATGTCTAGACAGATCTCTTGATGTAAATTGGTAAAATGTTAGGCATTGTATGTTATGGTGCATCTTAGGTTCATGATTCTGAGCAGTTTCCAATGACATGCAGTTCTGCTTCCAGGCTAAATTTAGCACTTTGTGACGCTTGATCTTGTTAACATGTAACAAACATATTTGAGTGTATGACCTGCGACTTTTCCCTTTACCAAGTACAAATGGTTCCAGAGAAATCCCTCCATCGGTAGCAACTGCAATTGCTGAAGGAAACTTAGACCCCATTACGATGGAGGCCTTTGACTGTATCCTAACTTCTAGAAATCATCTAGAGCCTACTGAATTTCAAACTTCTGGTAAGCCCCAGCTGCTAGAAACTGCTGATATATCCAGACAAGAGAGCTGCTTCATGGTATTTTCTTCACATAAAACTAGAGAAAAAAAGAAGACAGGCAAGTTCTTTAAACCCCACTTGATATCTGGTGCTAAAGAAATGTGTTCATATATTTCTCTTATACTCACTTTTTATAGTACAAAGTTCTTGTTTCAGTGGAATAACCTTATATCTGTATTTTGAGAGTTCCAATACTATTTTAAATGGTATATCCATCCAAAAATATTTATAGTTTGGAGTTAAATTTATCTCCTTTGATATAACTTTTTTTTGAGGGCTTGGTTTATTTGTTGATATCAAAGTACCTAAAATCTGCTTGTGTTTGCACAATTTTGAGTTTACTGAATAATAAATCTCATATGCCAAAGCTGCTAGGTGCTCATGCGTATATATTTTTACATATGGTAGATAAAAAGCTTTTATTTATGTATTTTGTGATGGTATGATTTTCTGGCAGCAGGTCCAATGAACATGAGGCAAGTTGCAGTTTCAACTGAAAGAAAGTATTTCGAAGATGCTGGACTAGAGAAATTAGCATTTCCAGTAAAATCTCATGCGAAAAATGAGAATGAGGTTTTAGAGGAAATTCTATTGAAGGTTCCAAATAACAATCCTTTCAAGAAAAGTAAACTTGACGAAATACACATAGCCGAGACAAAGGACATAGCTGAACTAGTTTCATCAAAAGGCGAGGATGAGAAGCTGGAAATCTTGGGTGTTTTTCCCGATAATAGTCAATTGACATTTCCTGTAAATAGTTGTATAAGTGATGGAAAACTTGAAGTCTCCAATCAGATGGAGAGCAATGCTGAACAAATTTCAATGGTGACTGAGGTAGACTGTTCTGAGACCATGGGCATCAACATGGGATCCCAAGAAAGTGTGAGTTCTAAAACCAAAAGAGTGTTTAGTGGGAGAGGAAGAGGCCAAAATGACAAGTTGAAGAGAAGTAATTGCAGCAACTCAAGGACTAGGAACAGTATTTTGAACTTTTTTGCTCGTGTGTAATCTTTCATCTGTTTAATTTACAATTTCTTTTTCGTTTCTTTTTTTAACAAGAATCACAAAATGATGCACCAAAAACACCTGTATGCTTTTAGAAGTCATTATTGAGCACCATTTATTCTTTTAGTACTTAAGCTAGGTGGTTACAATGGTAGGAAGGGAAATAACCATACTATGGGAGGGCTAAAGCATTGGAGCTGGCCTCACAATGGTTTGTTTCTTGCATGAACAGTCTCTCTACATGATTAAAACATGAACAGAGTCTGGCCGCTTATTGCTTTTTTCGAGTAAGAAGCTGCTTGAACCAGTAGGCTGACATCTTTGGGTACCTCTTCAAGCTTGAGAAATCAACATAGACAATGCCAAACCTTGAAGTGTAGCCTAATCTCCATTCAAAATTGTCCAGCAATGACCATGCGAAGTAGCCAACAACGTTTGCCCCGTCATCAACAGCCTTTTTCATCTGAGTCATGTAACCCTTGTAGTAGTTGATCCTTGTAGTGTCATGCAATCCCTGGGCAAGCGTCACGTTTCCTGGATCATCCATACCTGCAGGAAAAAAGGCTAACAATATGAGATTCAAACCCATTCTATTGTAATTTTTTTTCCCACGTTAACTTAGTAGAGAAACCATGTATGAAATTTAATTCAATTCAAAACAAGATTTTTACTAAATCATACCATTTTCAGACAAAATTACAATGGGATTCCCATACTTCTCTTTTATATACATCAGACACTTATACAATCCCCAAGGCACATTGTAGAGCCAATAAGAATACGCCTGCAAGCAAAAAGATAATCATATGATGCAGGTGAATTCAACACTTTTTAAAAAAGTAACCTTTCTTGGGAACCAGTGTCCCCAATGTGATTGACCTAGACTTACTCTTGGACCAATTGGCACTCCTCTTTTCGCATCTGTACAGGTGACCAAAAAGTTCAGACTTTAGAGTATATGAAGGATAGTATGAATCTCATTTTCAAAGAATAAAGAAGCGTCTTACAAGCAAATCCAGTATTCCAATCCTGCTGATAGCCTAAAACTTTTGGTTTAGACTGATACGGGTCATACATATAGTAAGTTGTATACTGGTTAATGCCCACAAAATCAAATGATCCTTTCACCATCTTAACCTCTTCTTTTGTGAACTTGGGTAGCCTATTGCCCACAATCACCTGCATTGTCCTAGGATACTCTCCATACACAAGGGGATGTATAAACCTAAACAATTTCAGAAGGCAGTGTTATAAAGTTATTCATCATGGTGGAGAGATGAATGTACCTCTTGCTATTTAAACTCTTACCATCCAACATGAAAGTCTATTGCTCTTTGAGCCGCATATCTGTCAGCCTTTGATCTGGTAAGAGGTTCGTACCATACAAAATCCAAGAGAATTCCAATCCTTCCCTTCTGTTTTTGCTGAAAATGCATGCATTTATCAATTAAGATAAGCTTTCAATGTGCTCAAATGGTTTTAAAGTAGACGGTATCCCATTCAGATCACATCAGTAACTATGTATCTTACTTGGTACTTGTCGCGGTATCTCTGCACTGCAGCTGCATGGGATAAAATCAAATGATGGGCAACAATGTATGGCTCGGTCCCAGAATTGCCTGCAGTACAATTTCCATATGCTTTGGAGCACCTTCCAGGAGCAAAGAACCCATTATCATACCCAAGTGCAGCAACTACTCTTGGTTCATTGAATGTCATCCAGTCCTTCACCCTGTCTCCAAAGGTCTTGAAACAGAAATCCGCAAAATCAGCAAAATCTTTCCTGAAAGTTATAAGTATTCATCAAATTTTCAGTCATAGATTATATGAGGAGAAGATAATAGCCTGAAACTACAAATCAAAAATTCTAATTCCAATAAGAAGCAAAAAGGAACATGCTGTGTGTCCAATGTACACTATGTTTCGGTAGGAATGAAAGAAAAAGAAGAGAAGGGAAAAAGGTGAATTAAAAAAAAAGAAGGAAAATTTTTTTTTTTTTCATATGAAATATTTAATTTAAGTTAAATGACAGTTTTTCTCACATTTGATAGGAAAAGGAAGACACAAATTCACTTCTTTTTTCTTATTTTCTTTCTAGCAAACTTAAAGAAAGGGTGAAAAGAAAGTAGCTTTTGCTTCCATCCTTTTTCTTTCCTTGCTTTTTCCCTCCTACCAAACACAAACACTAGTAATGAATTATGTGAACCAAATGCTGCTTCTTGCCATGGTACTTACACTGCTTGATAACTCAACCAGCCATTGTATTTCTTCTCAAGTGCTTCAGGAAAATCATAGTGATTAAGATTAGCATACGGTGTGATGCCTGCAAACAGTTTAGATTGATATCAGCTCCTTTGTTTCAAGACAACCAGGAAATACTAGGTTGGGATTCTTACATTCTTAATCTCTAATCTTGATCAAGAATTACCTCTTTCTAGCAAGTAGTTGATCAACCTGTTGTAATATGCAACTCCCTTCCAATTTACTTTCCCAGTCCCATCTAAATAAAAAATTGAAAAAATGATAAGGAACACAACACCAATTTTTATTTTTATTTTTTGTTGAATTATAATTTTTGTTGATGACAACTATGTAGTATGTGGATGAAGTACCAGGGAAAATTCTGGTCCATGAGATGGAGAACCTGTATGCATCAAAATTCAGTTTTGCCATAAGATCCACATCTTCCTGTAACAAAAGAGAAACATTTTATATGTGATATCAGGTCAGCATCAATTAACACCTAAAATATGCTACTTTTTAAATTTTGGGCTTAATCCGAAAGAGTTGGATTTCGGTAAAGCTAGGTTTAATTTCTCTTAATCTTGACCTTCTTTGTACCAATATAAACAAAAGCTACTTTTTAGTTTTGCTTTATACAATTACAAATTAAATGTGAAAATAAAAGTTCCGCAATCTACCATTACATCCTACACGGACTGTTCTTATTTCTTTTATGTGTTTGATTTCTTACAAAGTTTAATAATCAACGTTTTGATTTAACTTTATATTGAATTTTTCTAATTATGTTTAGATTTATTGGTTTGTTTATTGTTCAGTAATTTTATACATGTGATATACGATGATAATGTTTTCTTGTAATTTTGTTTAAAAAAAAAGTTTTCTGGTATCTAATTTAGACGAACAACAAATTAAGAAATTCTCTTTGATCCCTTATTTAAATTCGATTTACAATTGTTTACTCAACAAATG